TGTGTGTGTGTGTGTGTGTTTGTGTGTGTGTTGGTATGTGCATGTTTCTGTGTGTTTGTGGGGGAGGGGGGTAGATCTAGTTGTGTTGTATATTAGGACATTATCAAAAAATTAGGGGACAGGTGGTCTTTCGTATTTTATGATTTTGCTTTACAATTACATAATATAAATAACATGCCTTGGTGTCTGGCCTTAGATGACAATTTTCGATTCAAGTGGATTTTGTTCTGAAACTGCTGTCCGCAATAGTGAAATCACACGACAGATTTTTGTGAATGGCGCAATATGTGAGGCAGCGTGGTGAAATCAGGCTCTTGTCAAAATAATCAAAGAGAAGAAACTTGCATTTTTCCGCGGGTTTGTGAATTTTTATCAAATTTTTGTTTTCTGGCTCAACGCCTTTCATGCCCATTAAAGTACTCATTTCTGTGTGGATTTTTCTGAAATTCGTTGATTAAAGGCACCAAAAAAATGTAAATTGTCAGTTTCCACGGACTCTTAATATATTAATAAGATTGTGAGGAGTTCGATGCCATCTCCATCAGGTAGGATGTTGTATCTTGAGGAAAGATTTGAACCCGCTTCTCCAAAGTACACATGATACGTCATGTAGCTAAGAAAATAACTAATCTTTGGCGGCCATTTTCTCACTAATTTTACCTCTGAAAACAGTTGAACCCATCTTCTTCATTCGCAAATATCTCGACTTGTATTCAAGAATGATGGATATTTTTTCTTCCAAATAAAGACAAGTAAACAAGCTTTAAGATGATACAAATAACTCTACATGATCAAAAACTGACGAGAGCCTGATTCCACCACTCTGCCTCACATATTAATAAGATTGTGAGGAGTTCGATGATATCTCCATCAGGTAGGATGTTGTATCTTGAGGAAAGATTTGAACCCGCTTCTCCACAGTACACATGATACGTCATGTAGCTGCTGATGAGGTCCGATACTTCGGAGATAGTAGGACAAGACCACGTGAAATGTAGCGGTGTGCGCGTAATAGGCTGTCGCCCTGTAAGTCTATTAGGGATGACATAGTTAAAGTGAACCTGAAATAGGTTAACAGGTAGGGGGGG